AGAGAGAGAGAGAGAGAGAGAGAGAGAGAGGGGCAGGTGAGTTAAACTGTGATCTCATGGTGTTGTTGTATCATCCAGATGTTTCTTTACCTTCACACTCTCTAGTATCTTGTTGCGGACCTTCTGGTTCGCTTTACATCTCCTGTGCTCCACCTCGTCCTCATGGTGGAAGATCCAGTACTTTCTCTGGGAGCTGTTGTGGAACATGTCTGTCTCTGTCGGGACGAGCAGGAAATCATCTGCCGCACACACGAACACACAGATCCACCGCAAACACAACCAGTCTGCTCTCTGCTCACTGGGATTCAATAGAAATATCCATTCACGTCAGTTACTGCAGTTCCCGCTGAGAACAACAACAGATGGATGCGCGTCGCTTTCTTGTTACGTCACGTCACTGCTTTATGATGAATACCGTAATGGGAGGTACAGAGCGCAACAGGAAAGGTTCTGTCGGTCTCTCTCTCTCTCTCTRTCTCTCTCTCTCTCTCGCACACACACACACACACACACACACACAAATGCAACAAGCCTCAAAAACACAAATATTAACATTTGCGTGTGTTTTGCGTTTTATTTCATTTTCAGGCCTAAATACCTCATAATTAATTAAATCTCATATTTGCACTTTAGCTGTTTGCTTGGGCAGAAATCTCAACCTGACTTAAATTACTCAAACCTATAAATATAATTTTCATTAAACTATTTGCATACACTATATATGTGCCAATTTAGACTAAAGCAACATGTGATGAGAAAAGAATAAAATAGATCATAAATACATAAACGGTTTATAGGCTTTAAACACAGGCATGCTGTTCCTGTGGTTTCGGACGACACAGGAACTGATTGTAGTTTTCAGAACCCCCCCTCCTCTTCTCTTTAATTCCCCACCACTGTCTGGACTCCATCTAACTTCACAACAACATGGCCACGCTTGTGTTTGTCTCACATTTAAACGGAGCCAGAGCCAGAATCACACAGTATGTTTAGATGGTGCCACTCAACCCCCCACCAGTGTTTCCTTATATACTGTCATTTGCATAAACATGAGTAATTTATGAATAATAAATGATTTGCATTCGGCACGAGCCCTTCATTTGCATATCACCACGGCTACTGTTTTATTTCCGTATATAGAGCCATGTGTGTGTGTGTGTGTGTGTGTGTGTGTGTGTCTGTGATCATGGAGCCCTTCACTGCAGCATGGAGCAGAATCAAAGAGGTGTCGCTTTAACAGGTATGTGTTTTAATCTAAATCTGTGAGTGTTTGTGATTGTGTGTGTGTGTGTGTGTGTGTGTGTGTGTGTGTGTGTGTGTGTGTGTGTGTGTTTGCAGGATTGAACTTTAAAGTGTGAGCTGTGTCAGTGTAACACGTGCACGCTCACATGCACAGTATCAGTGACTCACACCCTGCTCTGTGAATCGCATAAACATGAAGAGCAGATGTTTTATTAATGAGACCAGTCCACGTTTATACTGTATTTGCGCGCGCTGATCGAGCGTGCGTGCGTCCGCGCGCGTGACCTGTGCATGTGCGTCTCATGTTGTCAGTCTGATCAAACAGCTGTCAGTCTGCTATTTCACATACACACACAAAATCTATATAATGCCTGTATTTGAGTTGTGAAATTCTATTTTTGGCTGCATGAAGAAATGCTTGAATGTTGAAGCAGCAGGTGAAGCCCTCTTCTTATGTGTGCATGAGTGTGATGGGTTTGGAAGAGAGACATAAAATGTGAGGCCAGGTGTGTGTGTGTGTGTGTTTGTTTGTGTGTGTGTGTGTGTGTGTGTGTGTGTGTGTGTGTGTGTGTGTGTGTGTGTCATTGTGCATATAGATTGTGTCTGTATAAATCTGACAGGCAGTGCTTTATGGGAAATCAGACTTGGGTTGTGATTGATTTTGTGGCGTCACCAGATCACCTGAATGATCTCTGAGCCTCCCTGATCAACATAGTTAATTCCATCCTCCTCCTTGACTTCATAAGCTGAACCCTCCTTGTCGGTTATTTTCCTGCTGCGTATGAAAAACTTCCCATATTGCAATTCCTGGACAAAGTCTGCTCAAAATTCAAGCGCTGACCGACAGATTTATGCCGTGTGAAGCGTCACCTTGGCTGTACACAGCTTTGTAAACTATTCATGATGATGATAATGCTGAGGAGGAGGTGGAGGGGGATAATCCCCACCCCTGCGGCCCACCTCCCCGCCATCTCATCTATGAAGTTACTTTCTCGCGTATGAGAGGGAAGAATTTGGAAATAACCTTGACGATGATGCAGATGATTTCTCTGACCAACGAGCTCGTCTAATCTCTTTTTTCTCTCAGATATTCCTGGTGTTTTCAATGCATTCCAGCTTCACACACCAACAAATACAATTAAACCCTCACTCAAGCTCCTCCTAAATGTGCATATTAATTACTCCGCCCTCCACCTAGTGCTGCGGTTGCTGTGGCAACCAGGGGATGGCGGTGCTGATGTCAAAGACTCCAAGGACACTCATGCAGGGGCTGGGTCAGGTGATGTGGAGCCCACACTGCTGCTGGGCATGGACGAACACTCACAAACAAAATGGCTGCCATCCCCTCTCTTTTTTTTCTGTGTTCTTTGGGCTTAAAACAAAAGAGGAAGTGCACCTGTGCTCGCCTGATTCCTCTGTGTTCTGATGGTGTGTGTGATGTAGATGATGTGGATTGATGCTGTCACTGTGATCGCTGTGACCAAAACGCAGCTCGAGCCTCGTCCAAGCCCCTTGGAGGTCAGCTGCCTGTCTGAGGAATTCAGAAGTATGTCTGGCTGTGTAAGTGCATCCTTTGTGTTGGATGTGTCCGTGCATTGGTTTTCCTCAGGTTGGCATTAAGCAGCCCATGCAGGGGTTTTTTTTCATTCCCCTCCCCCCTAGACACTCAAGGCTCCCCCACCGTCTCCCCCTCTCTCCCTGTCTCTAATTGAGCTTTGTGTCTACCTCCATCTCCATTCAAATCCAGACTCATTTGCATAGCGCCGCCGCACGCCGGACAGCTCCCCAGCTGTACAGTACAGAACTAAATGAGGAACACAGACCCACTTTACGTGACGTGAATAGCAAGAAGCGAGGCGAATCATTTCCCTGTTTCCTGAAAAATACAGCCACTATACCTGAGAGATGAGGGATGGAGAGGAAGGAGGACGCAGGCTGGATCAAATCAGTGAATTCAGAGCGAGGCAGGCATTACCAGTCTGAGAGGAGACGCCGGCGTACAGAGGCAGAGTTTATTATATTTAATGAAATAAGACATGGCAGAAGGTATCATGGAGAGTAATTTGGCATAAAAGTAGCCAGATATACTGATATACACATATTTTTGATGATGACAGCCAGCTTTACTGGCATAGACATCGGTGCTCCAATTTGAATCACATCTTTAGGGAGAATACAGCTTTAAATTCACATCACAATCCCACTGCAGGAAAGTAAAGTGCAGCTTTAGCTTTCTTTCAAAATAATTATAAATAACCCACGTTTTGTCCAAATATCACCAGGTTTAATTTGGACTCTCCTGCCTTTGCTTTTGGCTGCTCCAGCCTCAGTCCTGCCGAGGCCTGATCCTGCTCCGCCTCAGCTCTCCAGCGGTGAGACCTGCTCAGCATCCAGGAATTCTAAGGGACATTTTGCTTGAGTGCACAGAGACACGTAATTATGTTGTATTTTTGATGCACTCCAACCACACTTAACAGGACGTGTTAAGCACGCCCCTTAATGGGAACTTTAAAAACCCCCCAAGGCCAATCTTCATTTCTGGGCATATTGGTGGGGATTTGTGACATTTCAACTCATTTCAGGATTCAATCAAAGCCATAGCTCTGGGGAGAGCAGAAATGGCACGCTCTTTATGGCAAATCCAACTGTCCTTGGTTTGCTATATGCATACAGCTTCCTCCACTGTGAATACGAAGAAATTTGATGAGCCATTTAAATTTAACCTTGAAGACAAGCAGTGCAAGAAAACGTTTCAGTTTTTTTTTTCCTCTGTGCATTCTAGATTGAAATGTTTTATTTAGAAAACAAAGCAATTTGTGCTCATTTGTTAACTGTTGCCAGGATTTAAATCATGTAGGAGTGAAAAGCACACATCAACACTGTCAGTGTTCAGCGCCTCAGCTCTGAGTGAAGGAGCAGAGACAGAATGGTGTTAAAGTGCAGCCGTTCTGGTGAAAATCCTTTGCGGTACAAAGCTCCAACAAGTCCTCCAAATGACCCTTTATGTCAATGTGCAATGTCCTCACCTAAATAACCAGGCTGTCTGGGGGAATGGCTGGATGTAGTGTGCAGGTAGAAAAATGGGGTGGAATATGTTTGTGTATTTGAACATTAATGTGTCTGATTATTTTGGCTTTATTTTGGGTTTTATAAATGTTTGGCAGATTTTTTCCTCTTGTAAAAATCTTTATTTTATTTACATCGTCTTTAGAATGTATTTTAGAATCGTAAGAGTAAAGTTTCATTTGCAATTGAAATTCTGATAACTAAGTGATTTTCAAAGTCACAGTGAAATGTACCAAAAAAAATGGTTCAAATATTACTTTTCAAATAAATCAATATTTATACAAACATTTATTATTTTGTAGAGAAATAATGTGCCCCGGAAAAAACTAAAAACTTTTTACTGAAAAAATAGATTTTTATGAAGCGTGTTCATCACTAAAGCGATGCTATCACGTGTGTGTGTGTGTGTGTGTGTGAGAGAGAGATTTGCTCACAGTGGAGGGTTATGCATCTTAATCTAATTAAGAACCAGATGCCTGAATATAGACGAAAAAATTACGAGCTTCAAATTTGGGGGAGGGGAGGCCTGTTTGATCATGTCAGGTTGCCCGGCAACCCAAACCATTTATTTCAAACAAAAAAAAGCCCCTCTAAGATTTAATAATCAGGTTGTGTTGCATTAAAATGCAGAGAAAGCTTTCGGGAGCACCTGAAGGACAGCAGCAAAAATTAAGCAGAGTAATTTCTCCCCTTGCAGGTGAAATTCTGACCTTTTCTGCAGAGTGCCGGTCAAAACTCAACATTCTAATCAGCCAAACAAGCTAAAACGCAGCCTGTAAAAATGAATGTGAACATAGTTAAAACCTGCTTGTGCATGGTGTATTCTTCTAATTGTGATTTTTTGATTAACTGAGCATGCTTCACTGAATCTAAGCGCAGTCATTACACATTTAACACGTTGATTGTTCATTTTCAATTTTCTACTCAGGCAGGTTCACAGTTTGCATGCCTCGTTTGGTCTGGGAAATAAAACCCAAATATAATGACAGACAGATATAATAACAGACCAAGTAAAATAAAATGTCAAAATACTTTTCTTTCCCCACATGTTTCTTATACAAACATAACATCCAGCTCGGTACAGTA